TGGCTTTATTTTCGGGGATGTCTTATTATTTTTGATGTGCAGGAGGTGGCGAGTGTGGTTACCTCATGGCTCCTGCTGTGTTGCAATATTTTCGTGGAGGGCTTATTTTAGCACATGCCCTCAAAAGCCTGATTGAGCTTATTATCCGGAAAGGTCTTATTTTCAGGGAAACAGGATAGATTCAATTATATTTTTAGTAGTACCATTGCTGCTAATATTATTCAGAATGTGATATATTTGAGCAGCATTTCTACTCATAATGCCTTGGGAAAACAAGTATGGCTATAGATACTGGAAGCAAACAGCAAATATTTCATTCTGATATGTATATGACAGAATCCATTTAAATACATGGCCAAGGCCTGCATGTTTCCAGTTCACATATAACATTTTGTGGCTATACTAAACTGCAGTTGACTCCACATCTGCTCTTTCCGGAAAACAACTAACATTCAAATTGGCACCAGGAGCAGCACAACCAAGATAAACTTTAAAATATTTTACTCTTAAAAGTAAAAATAATTTTTATGTAGTAGATTTGAAGATGTTCTTGGCTTGTCTGATGTGGTTCACATTCTTTCTTCACTGAAGGGGTGTCATTCAATCGATTAGGCAGAATTGCAAGAAATAACATTATATTTAGCTTCCTGAAAGAATACAGACTCAACCAAGTGCTTTTTTTTTAAATCTACCAGAGTAATGGAAAGGAAAAGGAAGAACGAAACTAGGAATGCCAGGAAGCTCCAATACCTATTAATAATGAGAAATGAAATGGTTATCATTTGTAATGCTGAACCCAAACAGGGTTCACATTTTCAGTCTGATGACCTAAGAATGGCTTAGTTTACTTACATTTTACATAAACTTCAGATTGCATGGTGTTAGTAAGGTCTGCTTCTTCTAATGTTGCCACTGGATATTGCCCACCCTAATGGGCAGTGCTAAGCTGAACACAGACCAAATTGACATCATGCCCAGGCGACAAGCTGGTTGGTCAGGAGTGTTTTGTCCCAACCTGTGGCTTTCTCTGTCAAAATGTAGACATGACATGACCAGATGCTGCATTTGATCTTGCAAGATGGTATTCTCTGAAAAGAAGACTCTGCACATACTGGAATAACACTAGGAAGATGATAATGACTTCAGATTGCATGATAATTCTATCTGTACATTATTTTTTTAATAATGTGCCATACATAATAGAGAGATGGGTTAGCATTGTGGTTAAGGCATATGTCTAGTAAATAGTTCTGTTTCAGGTACGAAACCAGCTGGGTGACTTTGGGTATGGAAGTGTGTGTGTCTGTGTGTGTGTATTTCATATACCTGTGTTTGTAAGGACAGTTTATTCAAAGTTGAAACCTGCTTAAATGAGGATGCGTCACACATGATGTCTATGTTTATCCCATATTTATGTCTGGCAATTCACTGTTTTCTTAAATATGTGATCATGTCAAATAATGTTTTTTTGGCAAAAGTAATAGAATACAGTGATGTATTCTATTGGTCAGATGTACTGGACTTAAAATACATCTTCAATTAAGTGTACTTTAAATCAGTCCCAAACTTCTTGAAAAACATCTCAGTATCTCTAGTCTCAGCTCCCACTTTTCTATAACCTTCAGGCAGGGCAAATTTCCTTTAAATACTGCTCACAACTTCCATAAAAACTGAAGTCTATTGTAGTCAAAAAGCATTTTCAGATACAGGTAGTCCTCAATTATGATCATAATTGAGCCTGGAATTTGGCCACAAGTCATTGTAATCATTAAGCAAGATACCCATGTGGCTACCTTGCTCAATGACCACAATCCCAGCTCTCCTCCCTGTGGTCATTAAATGATAACAGATTATTAAGAAGCCCTGCTTGGATGCCTCAGGGACTACTGGCGGCCTTTGGAGGACTGCCCCCTCTCCCAGCACGTGGAAACTTGCTGTGGGCTGGAAGGCATGTTTGGTTTAAGCCCAGTGGTGTGCAGACCTCCTGCCTCCCCCTCACATGCTGGTCTCTTGCCTCCCATTCCCAAGAAGCCTGTCCTTCTCACTCTGCCCCACACGCCTGGAAAGCTTCAAGTGGCTAGGTCCAGGATTGCTGCTATCATAAGGTATGAATCCTCCCCAATTTCTTTTACTTTAACATTCTGAATACAAGCCTTATGATCTAATTCGGATTAGCTTTTGCAGCTTAGTTTTACTGATTCCACTCCCCTGACTTATCCATGATTGAAAAGTTTATTCTATAAGTCTGGTATGAGGATGAAATAAACTGATTATAAAGATAAAATAAACCAAGCAATTAGAACAAAAACCTGGAGGATGACATTAAAAATTAGAAATGTCCTGCTTTAGTTAGAATGTTTAGGTTTCTTCACTAAGGCAAGATGCTACAAATAAATCACGAGCATCAATACTAATTTCAGTGTAAAGAATATAGCTCCTACAAGCGTGATGTCATTAATGGTACAGATGTAGTGATGACATATGTCCATAAAACCCATGAAGAGTATTTTAGATGTTATAGTTGTAGTATATGTCAGACTATTAGTTTGTGCAAACCTCTATATCTCAGAATCGCATGACCTGGGCAGACAAACTATCTCTTTTTGTTGTCATTTTCTAAAGTGTATCCCATCTACTGTATTTTGTTTTTTGTTTTCACCATTTATTTATTAATAGATGAGCAGTGTAACATCTTGCAGAATGTTACTGCCATTCGGCACTGAAGGTTCCAATTTCAAAACTTCAAACATCCTGCTACAAAATTCAGCATTGAAGGAGAAACCTCTTCCCTGTTACTAAGAACAATGTAAATTCTTTGTTGTAAATGTGGTGATTCCCTTTCTAACCGTGGCTAATGTCAAATCCTATGAGATTTGAATGCATTGGCCTAAAGAAAGTTGTTTTTTCAGGCCAGAGCTCTTTGATCAACTTTACAAAAACTCTTCCAAGGATTACAGAATTGCAGTTTTACAGCACTGGAACTTGCTTTCACCTGGCCTCAAGTTGCTCAGCTCTCAACCTACCATGCCTATATGTCGTATAGTAGCTTAATTTGATACGAGCTATAAAACTAATTAAGGCCAAAAAAAAGGTCCTTTATATATGGTCCTTTATTTAAAAAAAACTCTTTTTTAGATTTTTTTTTCAAAAAATCAAATTGTCCTTTATTTTGGTCATTTTTAACCACTCAAATGGTACCACTTAATGCAGTTTCTGATATTCATGTGAAATATATGGAAATTAAATGTATATATAGTGCTTGTATAAAAAGTTTTTCTTGGTTTTGTTCTTGAACTTTCTTGAATTATTAACTGTTTCAGGAGTTAACGAAGAAAGT